CGAACGGTTCAATATCGATACGAGTATCGTTGCACCCCTAACGATTACATATTGCAATTTCTAAAATGGAGAATGGGCAGAAGTCCGATTACTTTTAAGTAACAAGTAAGATTACTCTTGCAAAAAAGTAATTAGATTACAGTTACTTTCCCGTAAGCACACCGCATTACTAAACCGTCGTGATTTTACTTGTGAGTGTGTCTCATGACAAAGACGTAAGCGCGTGTGACGTGTGCAGTTCAACAATGGATAATCCCGAGTGCGAGAGAGTACGACCATGCAGCGTTTAAAGCGTGGACGCACCGACAGTACTTTGAGTTTGATTCTGTAAAAACTGACAAACATCTGCATGGGAAGAAATGAAACTTCAAATCTGAGCGAGCACCGAGCACGCCGGTTGTCAAAAACCGATTTCCGGTATTTCCGTGTGTTTACTTATATTGGTAAATAGACTTTACTGAACAGGATTTACAAAGACGTTACATATAAAATTGCCTGTTTTTTAAGTATCTTTACAAATCTTGTGTTATTGTACCGACATTATAATCGATCCGGTCCTTTTTGGCCACTTAAAATATGTTTACAACATAACTGTTGTATTGGTTGCGGGGTTTTTTCTGCTGCCCTCTTGGCCAGATTACTCTTAAAGAAGACAGTTTTAATGTCAACTGGATTATTTTTAATTTATGAAGGAAATATAAAAGTCACTGCTAAAAACTGATTGCAGTTTCTACCTTGTGACAGGAATGTTGTCTGCGGCTCAGTATGACGTGATATCGTCATAAAGTTATAAGATTAAAACAAGTTTAATTAAATGTTATGATTATGCAGAAAAAAACTGGGCTCAAAGGTCTGTTGCTTTATTACATATTCAGGTTGTGTATCATGTTTTTAAAAAGTAATAAAGTAACTAATTTTGAAAAATAATCAGTGAAGTAATGGGATTACTGATTACATCTTCAAGAAAGTAATCGGTAACTAATTACTTCTGTTAAGTAACATGACCAACACTAATGGAGATTAATGAGCAGTTTGTTTTTTCATATTTATTATTGCTCATTTAATAAGACTGGATACTCTTTATCCAGTTACTTACCTGGTTACTTAATCAATGGAATACCAGATTATTACAGTAATCAGTGGCAGCTGTCATTCAGTGTGTGCAGTCATCTGTACAGCACAGTGGACATTCTGTGTTTCAGCCAGTAACGTTGGTAAAATTTGGTAATAGTGTGAATGCAGAAGCCTGCATGAGATTATGTCCATCATGCAATGCCATGTGGAAAGTTTCTAGCTTTAGTTTTAAACATGACAGTGATTTCAAACACACTTTGAGGTAAAGGCATATCTGATAGGGGGGTGCCCCCAAAATAAAACAGTGGAACTGTGAACCCAGGCCGCATTATTATTGAAGCCAGGTGGTGTCGTATTGAGAGAGTGGAACAAAAGACGGCTCGCCTCCAAATGAAGCTCGGCCAGTCGTCCCAGAAGGCAACTTTAAATATCACCAAAAGGTTTAGGCTGTGTTGAAGATTAAGGGTGCTCACTACCAAATACACTTTGAAGCTTGTTAACTTGTTTTTTTGTTTTGTTGTTTTGTATGTCCATGTATTAGTTGCATGTGTCAATAAATCACTGCACCCATTTACGCAACAAAGAACAAATGTAGCTTTTCCAGACTTTTGCACAGTGCTGTAAATGCAAACTAGAGAATCAGTAGTCGAGGAATAGATCGCTTATCAAAATGGCTTTTTACAGTCATTTAAAAGACATTTCACCTGAGTCTAGTGTCAGTTCATATAAATGAATAATAGATGTTACAGAGTAAGAGTGCAGTGCCCCCACCCTCCAAGCACACTCCGCTGAGCAGCTTATATGAACCCGTACGCTTCTGCATATCGACACATCACAAGGTTACGTTCATCGTTGAGTAATGTTAGCGTTTGTTTTACAGAAGGACAAAAAGGATGATTTTAATGAAAGAGCTCTTTGTTCGTCGGTAACCGACAACTAACTAGTCTTCTGTCCCTCTCCATCAGTTGTTCCTTATTGACTTTGGTTTGGCAAAGAAGTACAGAGACAACCGAACACGACAACACATCCCATACAGAGAAGACAAGAACCTGACTGGCACGGCACGCTATGCTTCCATCAACGCGCACCTGGGCATTGAGCAGAGGTCTGTGCAAACATCTGATAGACAAAGGACGTTATAGCTTCCTTTTTTCCAACAGTGTTAAAAATCAAGCTAATTTTAAAAAAATAGGCTTTTTTCTGGTTTACGTTGTAACTTTCTCTTCATGATACTGCCACAGCAACAATTTCTAAGAGAACGAAAAATAATGAATATTTTGACAGTGTCAGGGAAACACTAATGCACTCGTTGTGTACTCAATGAACACTTTTGTTGTCTTCAGTCGCCGTGATGATATGGAGTCACTAGGCTACGTGCTGATGTACTTCAACAGAACCAGTCTGCCATGGCAGGGATTAAAGGTATGTCGCTGCCTTTGACACACAGCAGGCAAACACAGTAGTTTTGTTTGTGCTGGACGTGTGGTAGACAGAAACTAAAGACGCAGCACACCATGATGTGGTATCGCTCACTAGCATGAGTTAACTTCTCTCTGGCTCAGACTCAGTGAGTGCACCTGTAGCCTGAGTGCATTTAGTGTAACAGTGGGTTGTGGCGTAAACATGCTGTTTGTACTTTTGTGTCCAGGCTGCCACAAAGAAGCAGAAGTATGAAAAGATTTCAGAAAAGAAGATGTCCACCCCAGTTGAGGTCCTCTGTAAGGTAAAAACACTTTGAGACCTACATGTTCAGCGTGTCCACAGAGAGAGAAACCTAAATAGACTGTACAAGGATGCCAGAGCTAGCAAAATGAACACTTTGAATTTGACATGTAACATTAGTCGGGCCAATAAAGCCTTTTGTCAAATAAAGTCAAATAAAAATGGCCTTTTCTTGCAGTTATGTCACGTTCACATCTTACAGGCTTAAACAGGCACCATGATCAAAGCAGTGCACACTCAGTTGTATGAATGCATATTTCCAGGGTTTCCCAGCAGAATTTGCCATGTATCTAAACTACTGCCGTGGCTTGCGCTTTGAGGAGGCTCCAGACTACATGTATCTGCGCCAGCTGTTTCGCATCCTCTTCAGGTGAACACACGCGTCCAACTCTCTGTACATGGCTGTCAGCTTTGAGCTAAATGCAGTTTCCAGTAGTTAACCCCAAACACGTGCTTTTACTATACTGTCATTGCTGATCCATTAGCTAATCTTTTGTATGCAATTGCAAACTTTTAGTACAGACTGATTTGTACAGACTGATTTGTATGCTTTTGAATAAACTAAAGTGTTTCCCATCTTATTTCTGTTTCTTTCCTACAAAATTATTTTAAACTGTTCAATGTTAACGTTGGAATATTATTTCTGTGTGTGTGTGTTTTAAGGACTCTGAACCACCAGTATGACTACACATTTGACTGGACCATGCTGAAACAGAAAGCCGCTCAGCAGGGGGCCTCCTCCGGGGGCCAGGGCCAGCAGGCACAAACCCCCACAGGCAAGCAAACTGACAAACCCAAGCCTAACATGAAAGGTTAGTAGCAAACAGCCAAGTGACGTTTTTTACAGGCGCCAATAGCTCATATAATCATTCAGCATCATATTCAGGACTTTTAGATTCTGGGTTTATTTTGTTTGTTTGTTTTATTGTTTTGTTTTATTATTAGAATCCCCTATTCCATACCCCAGTGCCCCTGGAGAACAAACAAGCACCAAATTGGAAATGTATAGCAAAAAGGATATTGTTGCTGAAATAAAGTCAAGCCACATTATAAGCCTGAGGCCCAATAATATTAATGATAATATTAATGATAATATTAATGATAATGATAATATTGGAAAAGAGAGAAAGATTTAATTAGAAGCAAAGACGTCCTTGGGGAATTTGACTACTAACTTTGCTGTCATGCTATTCTGTCCTTTTTGGGGGTTGGACTACAGGCTTTCTCTGCTGTCGCAATGTTTTAATACTGACCAACTATCATTCTTGATTCTTCTGCAGTCACTAACATTTCCTATCCAAACTTGAAAATGCTGAACATGTTGTCTCCCTTGCTGTTCCATGATTGAGATGGTCACCACTGTATGGCAATGGCAGCTGTAGACTGCTGCTGCGTTTGTGTATAAAAACATTTTTGTACACATTTGACAAATTGAATAACATCAACAAATAGCAACATATCAGGAATTTCAAAAGTGGCTGCATCAGATGTTTTTGATGCAGCGCCCTGTTTAACAGGGATTTCTCTGCTTCTTCTATCTACATAAAGGAACACACGTGTACATATGTATACACAGATGTGTGTGTACGTGTGTGTACTGTTTGAATGTCAGACTTGACATCATTCCAAAGTTGTATGTATTTATTCACTGATATTAGGCTATAAATTGTGCCCAATACTGACTGTAAATTATGTGCCTTTTGTCTTTAATTTCTTCTAAACCCAAATCACTCAAATGCATCATTGTGACAACAGCATCACGTGGCCCAGTTTGCATTAGAACCCATTTTGGCCCCACCAGACTTGGGCTGTGATAGTCTTGCTGTAGCAGCACACATATGAGCACTAGCATGTTCTTTGTGTCTTTTGTTGCTCTGTAGTGAAAAATGGCTTTGAGAATAAGACCAGTCTAGGAGGCTCGCATCATTTAATATCTATCAAGTGATCAGCGTGTTCGACTGTTTATCTTGTGCACAACGTTTTGCACACCATAATCTACATGTTATAGGTGGTTGCAGTCACCAGAGGGCAGTGTCAAAAACAACTGCTCTCATGCAGTGCTGTTTGTGATGCTAGTTTAGCTTGTGCTACAGAGAAGACCTGGACAGAGTCATCAGGCTATTGCACAGCCATGTGCCCTGTTCCTGCAGGCACAGGAAGAACATGCAAACTCCACACAGCCAGTCTGAACAGCCACATGCAGTTTGTTGCAACAAAGTGGTACATGTATGCCAGCATATAGAGAGTACTGACATACCTGTGTGTCTGTCTGTGGATGACTGATGGTTTGCTGTTTACATGTTGTGGTTCAGGTGAGATGCAATATGTCACCATTTAAAGTAGTTTAGTTTACAGCATGGTTCGATGTAGCATTGGCACGCACATGTTGTGCATGTGCACTACCGTCAAGTTTTAGAGCACCCCCGTTTTAGGACGCTGGTTTAGCTCAGCAGGCGACCACGTGCCACACGGCTGAGAGCGGCCGGCCCGGGTTCGAGTCCGACCCACAGCCCTTTCTGCCCCCGCTTTCCTGTCCTTTCTTCACTAAATAAAAAGCTAAATAAAATATATATATATATTGTTTGGTTTGGTTTTTTTTAAAGAGCAACCCCAAATTTTTGGTTATTTATTGCAAGTCGTTCAAGTCCAGTGAAGAACTTGAAACGGTACAAAGGAAAGTGGTGAACTGCCAGAGGTTTAAAAAAAGGTAAGGTTGCCTGATACTGGAAATTTCAGAATTATTCAAAAAGGCCTTTTTCAGGGAACAATTGTTAACAATTTAAAGCTTCTCTGCATCAATGGAGGATCAAGCCTTGAAAGCTGGTGCTACTAATTCCTACATGAACCTAGTTACTCAGAACCTCCTCAGGAAGAACAAGATGGTGAGCTTGGAAACACGGAGCGTCCGACAGTCTCCAGACTTGAACCCCATCCATTTACAAACTCATAACAGAAAGAAAGAAATGTTCAGAAAAAAACAAACATTTAAATAAAAAAGCACAATGGTGCTTCTTTTTTCTACTCGGTGTTTACAGTGTCTCTGACACACTCGAGCAAACAACAAATACAAAGATTAAATAAAGTCTGTTAAAATTCAAAATGTCTCTTCCAGCCGTCATTAAAGGAAACAAACTCAGATGTAATGTTAAGTCTTTTGTGTGATTTGATGCATCTCAAATAAATAAATATCTGTATTAATACTGAAACAGGGAAAGAAGGTAAAATTTTCCCTCCAAACAAAACGTCTAAATTCTAAATGCACAAGTCCGTCCGTGCGTGATTACATGGCTCCGCCCATCAGAAAGTCTGTGGCTGCGTCAGTATCGCCTGTCGTCTTTTATTGGACTGACAATTGTCGGTTGGAAAATGTTTACATATCACCCAACTTTAGTCTATAAATAGATTCCATGATTTCTTTGTTAACTCCAGTTTCTTTCATTAAACTGCATCATTTTCAATAAAAACTGGAAACATTGTGGTGTTCTAAAACTGTGATTGGTAGTGCACATCAGTGAGCTCAAAGTGCTGCTAAATATCCTACATTAAATGTAGCTGTAGTGTGAATGATGGTAATGCTACATGTAGGTAGAATTCCTGGGTTTTGTAGTTATTTTGGTAAACATTTGTTCACAAATGGTGATCTTGGAATTCCACAGACCTTAATGCGAGCTTAAACATGCTCGTGTTACCTGTGCAGTCTCACACTAGTTGAGGAGTGATGTTGTTTCAGTAACTCTAGTTTGAAATGAAACAGCAGGTAGCTTGATGGACTTTTCTGGGGAATCCCAAACGGTCGATGCTGTTCATCCGGGCGTTTTCAGAGTTACTCACCTGGATGACTCAGCATGCAACAACAGGGAACCTTCTAGGGAACTAGCGTCGTAGGACCCTGATACACCTGTGTTTGACACCTGTGTGCTGGTTGTAGTTCTTTGCTGCTGACCTTTGCTTTCACTGCGCTACATGCTTACCTCGCTGGTGTGGGTGTTCAGTTTGTCCATCTCTGTGCTCCTGAACAACCGTGGTAATGATGCTTCTGTCTGTCTCCAGGTTTTTGAGGGGTCTGCTCTGAGCAGAGCTCCTGAAGTGTTGGTGACCAGGACTAATAAGTCTCCCTTCCTGGATAAGCGACAAACAAGAAAGTCTTTCCTTCCATCATAACTGTCTATGTAATGGAAATATATAGATTTACACACACCTTTGTCAGTTGTGTTATCTATATATTCATATATGTGTATATATAATAAACCCTCCACTCTGGAAGATTTTTTTTTTTTTTTTTTTTTTTTTTTTTTTTTAGGATGTGGAGGCTGTAGCCCCCCCTCCCCCAACACACATACCCTTCCCCATCCATCCTTCTGTCTCTGTTCTCTCAGTGTTGACTTTGTTTCTTTGGAAACTGAAGTTGAGATCAACTGACCATTTTTGTTTTTCCTCCCAGTAGAAACATCTCAAAGCATCTCTTCTCTTCCCATTCAGTTACTTCACTCCCTCCTTTTACCAAATGTTAAACATGTAAACCTAAAACCTGTTCTCCCTTTTGTTTCTTATATAATTGAATGACACACCCCTGGATGTTATTTACTTAAAAAAAAATCAAATGTTGATTTTTTTTTTCTTCTGGTTTTCTTTGTTTCCTATGGTGATTAGGAGTTTGCCTGTTAATAAGCAGTGGATGGCAGTCAATGGTAGAATGATACTCTGGCTCTCTCCCTCTCTAGAGCTCTGAATGATAAATCTGTTGTTAAATCTTCTCCATAAATGCCAATAAAAATATTACATAACTCAGAGCAAGCACAAGTTCTTATCAGCCACCTTCACATGAAACTGTGTAGAAAGCACCAGCCAGGCATGATATGTGAGCGTGCATCTGTTGCTTGGTTTGTTTTCCCCAGCAGGCAGCACCATAAAGAAATCATGTTCACCTGAATATTTGGGATATTCACGTGGTATTTAAATCCCTTCTGCTGTTCTTTAGTATACAAACGAGAATTTTTAATTTCCTGTTTTGTTTTTTTCCTTTGTCCCTTTTTTCGGGCTTTAGGTTCAGTGTGCTGCATCATGAGACCAAACTGTTTAAAGCACTGTCTCAAGATTGAGTCCAAGTTATCACACGTATACCAGTCGTTTGTTAGGTGTATAAAGAACACTGGGAAACAGTTTTTCTTGCTCAGAGATGTCCTTTATTATAAAGATTCAGTGATTATAAAATATATGGTTGTCTTTGATTATTTTTTCTTCTTTTTTGTTTCCAACAGTGGAAAAAGCTTCTCGTCATCATTGAGTCTTATACACTGTACACATATTAGCACTGTAGCCTCGTACCCAGCATTCGACCAAACAACTTATTTCTGAATAAATGTTGAGACGCTTTTGGGTTTTGTTTTGTTTGTTTTATTTTTTTGTTTTTGTTTTGTTTTGAAGAATGATTTAGATCAGACTGGATGACCTGCACAGGTTGAAACTGGGTATATTTAAAGGCATGTCTCACCCTGTCGTGCTGTTAATATAGAAACTATTCATTTATTAACAGTAATATTTAAGTCCAACCTGACTACAAACTAAACTGATCATCTGTGCCTCACCTTGCTGTTGTTAGCATGTAACTCTGGAAAAACCAGCCTTGTTCTTGGGAACTGGATTGTGACCTGTACAGAAATACAGTGACCTAAACTGCCACTTGTGACGCCGAGCACGAATTATAGTTCATGTTGAGGATGGAAACACTCGCACCGAGATGGACCCTGAATACAGATCAAACTAATGTGAATGTTAGACACTAACCTGATGGCAGCACAGCTGCTGCACAGCAACAGTGTGCACAACACACGGTGCTCCGTAGTTTGTGTTATATGAGCTGTTGCACACTGTTCAAAACCAGGCGGGAACACCGGCACAAATGATGTGCAAGTTTGCATATTTGTATCATTTAGTTTCCACTAAATGTTTGGATGTGTGAGATCCTTCTGCAGCTGTTGGGTCGACTTGATGTCTGTTTGGGGTCCAGCTGAAACAAAACAACAGATAACAACACAACTCTGCAGTAAACATTTCTGAACACCAACCATAACACGGCAGTACAAACATGAACTTCTGCACAATCTGCACCAAATATGTGGAATCCTGGTGACAGAACAGATCCATAAACACAGACGTGTCTGCATCCTTTGCTCCAGACGTTATACAGAGGTTGTGTTTTACAGGCGACCTCCATCAGCCCCCAACAGTCAGACAAGCTTAGTTTCTAATGAGCCGTTAATCCTGGAGAGCACTCAGCAGGTAACTCCAGGACGATGGACAAAGTAGAAACACATGAGTGGACGTCCCAGCAACAGTCTGATGTCCCTGTGTTGGTGTTTTGGCTGTTTTTGTAACACAATTTGAAACTCGTGACTTAACCTGGAAATCACTGATATTTTACACAGTGGGCGTGTGTGTAGTGTACTGCACTCCCACAGCTGTCCTGAAGTAGGTTCGACATACCAACACAATGTTTATTTGAACTCCAAACCTTAATAAGTGAAACTAAATCTGACCAAAATGTAACCGAAGAATCGTGAAAAGCTGAAGTGACTGCTGAGCTTCTGTTGGTGACGAGGTCATTTGTCAGCTCTAATTATGCTCCTGGAACAACATCAGTTATGTTTGTTATGGGGCTGAAACGGCACCAATACAGCAGAAGATGTAACGTATTATTTTTAACAACATCAAGAGTCAGTTACTGGAACTGTTTGGTTTTACCTTCACGGTGAGCATCTTTTTCCAGTTGCATCAAAAACACTTTGTGGGCCTTTTCTAAGAAGAATGTTCAACAAACTGAGTTTAAGAGCAAACTCTTGGTTTCCTGTATGTTCATCGTGTGTGTGCACGAGGAAGAGAGATGTCATCGATGGAGCCTGATATGCTTCGTGATGGCAACAGGTAAGGAACAGAGCGTCCGTTGCACTCGTGCGGACCGAGGAGTAAGGAAAGTTATTCATGTAGGGATCTTGAACTTTGATCGGATGAAGCTAAATTCTACTTTTACTTTTGATTTTAAATCAAATGATTCATCTGTAACCCAACAGGACAAAATATAAAAGGCGTGAAGTGAAGTGTGGAGAAACACGTCAGACATTATCGTGTAAAATGCTTAAAGACGGGACTTTGAGTGTTTCTACTGTAAGCATTAATATTTTGATCTAATATCAGCCATCGCTGATAGATGACAGCCACCGTTTCACCGCTAACTCTCCTGTAATCCTCGGGTCTCGTTCACCTCGTTCAATTTTTAGCATCCAAAAAATAATTTAAAAAAAGTTAACGTTTTTTTGGCTTCATATTTCATGAGCATAAACTTTTTATATGTTTTCAATGAGCTGTACACGTTTTGTATACATCGGCGTTCCTCTGGGGTCGAGTTGTTTTAGCTGTGGAAAGCACGTCTGTGACCTTGAATCTTTACACCTGTGTGTGCAATGTTGGTCCTTTCAAGCTGACACATGAAAGGGGGGAAACGTTCCCGTGAGAACTTGGATACTTCCTGCCGTGTGGCTCGCGAGTTGTTCACATCCAAGTATTGAAGTGTGTGACCTAGTATACTCTCACCTGCTCAGTCAGACCTGATATTTGTCATGCGGCGGTGGGCGGCCATCGTGTGGGACAAAGACAAACGGCCCTGTGGATTGTAACACTGGAGAATTAGCAGTGGGACAATCCACAGGCAGGAAACGTGGCAGGAGCCAAGTTTGTCCCACCAGAAACTATTCTAAGACTAGCATGACCCGTGCACACTGCAAGCATGCACACACTGCACATCCTGTGTGCTGTAGTGCAGACAAACTTGACTGCTGGACAAGAACTTCATGTCCTGACTATTTAACTGATGCCCATATTTAAATATGCCCAATATTTTTTTTTTAAAGAAGAAAGGTGAGTGAAAGCGATGCTGCGGCGCTACAGCAGAGGGTCTAGATCAGGACATTCAGCAGGATTCATTCTGAAGGGTGGATGTGCAAAGGAAGGATTTTGAAGATGCACTGAATCTAAAATTGAAGCTTTGACCTGGTGGTGGTGCTAGAGAAAAGGTTATGTCATCACCAAAAACCAGTAGGGTTCATCTACTTGTGGTCAAATGTTGTTCATTGTCATTTGTGTCTTCAATGCACCTATACACACATCCCACAGACCACTTTTCACACGGACCAGTAGGGCAGGGGAGCAGGCAGATCTTCCACCCTGTCTGAGGCTGGGTTTGGGATGCACCAATCCATCCACACTTCAGGGGGTGGACATGTGTCTTTGTGCAGTTTCTGTGGGGGAGCCTGGATCTGGGGCTCGTTGAGCTTTGGTTACTCTGGGACATTGTTATTAAGAGCGGAGAGGATCTCCCTCCCTGCCACTCCCCACTGGTCGTTGCTTCTGGTATTTATGTGGCTTCAGGGTACCTGACTCGGCCCACGTGGGCATGTGTGTTTCGTGGACACGCGTTTAAGGCTTTGCAAAAGAGCAAGAGGGATGTCACATCTGTGCACGAACACACATTTATAAAAGAGAAAAGTAGCCGAGTCGTGAAGCTGAACTTAATCAATTGTGTGTAAATTATCACCATTTATTCAGGTTTGAATGTAGAGATTTGTCAAAAACTGTCTGATCGAAGTTCATGTGCGTGCAGATGTAATTCCTTAAAAGCCAAATCTCTGCAGAAACTTGTGGATCGTATCGGACGCACTCGTATCACTTTTGAGGCAAATTTCTCAGCTTAGCTTCTGAATGATCGTTAATAATTTTACATCCTCGTTAAGTTCGACTGTGGATACTGTAGCTCCTGTGGAAACAACCAGGTTTGTCTTCAGCTCTGTAGCCAGGCTGACAAACAGTCAGAGCTCTGCTGAGCCAAACATCCCTTTAACGTTAACTAGTAACGACTTCATGAATAACATTTGAACCATTAGAGAAAAAATTACCAATAATCATCCCACAGATGTAATATTATCTACAGCTACTCTTAGTACCATTGATGTTAAGTTAGACTCTTTTTCTCCAATCGATCTTTCTGAGTTAACTTCAATAATTACTTCCTCCAAACCATCAACGTGTCTTTTAGACCCCATTCCTACAAAACTGCTCAAAGAAGTCCTGCCATTGATTAATTCTTCAGTCTCTAATAATCAGCTTCGTAGCACAACATGCCTCATTCATCCAAACACCAGCTAACACTCACACACATTCACACTCTGATGGACGGAGAGAAACTGGGCTCAGTATCTGTCCCAAGGACACAGACTGGGGGAGCCAGGGATCGAACCACCAACCTTCTGATCAGTGGATGGCCTGCTCCACCTCAGACTGGAATTCATAAACTGGAAAAAAGATACCAGTCTAGCTGGTTGAGGAGGTTCTTTGATGTCTAAACGAGCAATTAAACAAGTAACGTGTTCATATTCAGCTGGTGTGCACACTAATATTCACTTTGAGTGATGTGTTGATCTGTACATGTACAACACAATGCAACATGGAGGGAAACAGTTGTTGTTGTTGTTGTGTTTATGAGCACAGACAGAACAGACACAGAGAAAATTCATAAACTGAATCATTATTTTATTTTGTTACTAACTGAACTTCATTATCTGTATCACACACTTGACTACATGCAGGAACTGCAGGTGCAGGAAATGGTTAAACTCACTGCAGCATACTGAACATTCAGTGCTAACATGCAGCGTGTTAGAGGCGGGGCTGAGGTGAACATGGTGTCATCATCCGTGTGTGCTTACTGTAATAATTCATTTTGAGATATTGATGTATATAAATGGTGTTTTTATTTTAAATTAAATTAATTACTTCAGTAATGTTTAAATGAATAAAATAATGTAAAAATGAATTTATTAATGCATATTTTATGGTGCAGTTCATTACTGAAGCACAAGCATCTTTAATTTGGTGCACATGGCTCTCCTCCTCCATATCCTGCTGCCATGTGCACAGACACTCCTGTTTGAACAGTGTTAGTGATGTGCAGCTCGGGTTCAGGTCAGGCTGTTCCACCCAATCACGCCCCTCCACATCTCACCGTTGTTGAGTGTTGAAGTCTCCCAGCAGGAGGCCCCAGGTGAAGGGAGGACCCCACCCAGGGACTCCAAGACAGCCGGGTATTCTGAAACTGTCGTTGCTGCATAAGCAGCAATGATGGTGACGTCCCACTCGACCTGAAGGTGCAGGGAACAAACCAGCGAGTCTTCTTCTGGCTTCTGACAGTGGACTCATCTCTGTGCTTGTCCTGCTCGACCTCAGTGCAGCGTTCGATACTGTTGACCATAATATCCTATTAGAGCGATTAGAACATGCTGTAGGTATTACAGGTACTGTGCTGCAGTGGTTTGTATCATATCTATCTAATAGACTCCAGTTGTGCATGTAAATGGAGAGTCCTCTTCACACACTGAGGTTAATTATGGCTGAAGGAAAAATTCCCTTTTAACAGGAAGAAGCGTCTGACAGAAGCAGCCATCGGCACCTCCTCCACCTCCTCCACCTCCCCCCTGCTCTCATTGGTCCCAGGTGAGATCTGCACTGTTGTCTGTGTACTTCTTCATGATGTGATTTGTGCTAAACTTTGCATCAGCACCCCTGAGGAGAACCAGTGCTTGGTAGAGACGTGGTCGGTGTGTTTTTAACCACCGTGTTGCCCGTGAATCAAAACCAGTGCAGGAGAAATCTGCTCTCTCTTTCTAGTCCCTGTCAGGACTCTTGCTGCAGCATTTTGGATTAGCTGAAGGCTTTTCAGGGAGTTTTTAGGACTTCCTGATAATAATGAATTACAGTAGTCCAGCCTGGAAGTAGAGATGGA